GGAGAGCAAAGAAACTGCAATAAACTCCAAAGTTTAAGTCGAGACCAAATTTTCAATTTTGAAACTGAGCAAGCTAATAAATCAAAATTTTGAAGTGCTCGTTCATTAACTGAAGCAGGTTCAATGATTAGGAATCAACCTTCAAAGCGTTTTTATTTCTAATCTCTGGCTAATACATCCCTATCGAGCTAAGACAATAACTCGAGAATGAGCCATGTCAGAAAACAGAGATTTTGATGCTTTACGCATTGGATTTGTCATCTTGTCGAGCTCCTCTAAGCAGTGGCACATTCATTCGTTGATTACTCGCAAAAACTTATCACGTGTAATTTTCTCCAGTACTTCGTCGCCTTATTCTGCACGCATTCGTTTTCTTCGGTTCACCTCACTAGCTTTTTTTGATTTCAGAGGCTGATCATTTTAATTAGTAAAAGTTGTAGAAGATGAACGAGACGAAACAGATGAAGATGAAGAATACGCAATATCCTCGAAGCCAAAACAGCTTGGCGGTGATGTTGTCCGATGTAATTATCTTATTTTCAACATTCTGCTCTATCAAATTAGGAAACATTAAAAAAAATAAGGGCCCACAGGAGCTGTCTGGGCTGAGGCTTTTGCGGGATTCAGTGTTCGTTTCAGTATACTCTCTAAGCAAGTATTTTTTTTTTTTACATTTTCACTCAAACGAAAAGCGCATTTTTTAAATTTGGTAGGAACCAAATAAGTATTGCCGAATAAGGTTTGGATGGTGCTGGATTAGTGGTGAAAGAGGTCAGTTATGATGGTGATTATGATGACGATAATATGTGTTATCAGCGTAGCTGAGAATTCACAACGACCTTATTGTATAATAAAAAGGGGGCGGGTTCGGCTGCCTAGTGATGATGCTGATGAGATGGCATCCGAATGAACTCGGACAATGACCATTCTGCATCTTCTTGTATGATGGACAACGTTACTAGAGTTTACGTATCTATATCAGGTAGAAATTTATCTATCCATCACCTTACCTGTCACCTTCTCAGTGACCTCTTCGAATTCTTTCGGAAAAATTTAACCTAGTGCTTCTTACTCAGTTTGCCGACGTAACAATAATCTTAAAATAGTAACTGGTATGGTTCTGGATAATAGTCGCGAAGCTGTATATGATTACTTAAAAACTATCTTTAACAAGCTAATTTATTAATTTTACTTCTTGACTGTGCCAAAGTAGCAAAATTTCCTTGCTCTATTAATCTTGCTTTAAAATCTAACTGTTTGTCCACATCGTTTGAAGGGCGCTTCTTATAATCCGGTGGTTTGCGAAGTTAAAATTACAAAATTTCAAACGCTCGCTATCAGTTTGAAAATAAAGTTTTCTTGACGAGTAAGGGCTACGAACAGCGTTTTGGTCCGGGTTACTATCGCCGCGGATTTCCGCAATCAGATTATGTTTTTTCTGGATCTAATCGATAAGCAGCGTGTGCGAAGACAAAAGAGGAAAGCGTGATCGGTTTCAGTTGTAGAAACAGATTCAGGGCAGCCAGGAGTATATTCAAATTTGGCCCACTTTGAGCACCACCATATGGCCGGGTTAGCAGCCTAAGTAAAATATGTTACAGGTGGTGTAAAAGTGGATGATTTATCGACGATCGGTTCTTTGAAGACTCGGAAAGGTGACTGGGAAAATTCAGCGAAGGGAGTAACATCTGTAGGTACAGAAAAGACAAATGCTGCTGAAGAGATCGGTTTTGGGACGGTGAAAGCCAACCTCGAAAAGTTCGTCATTGTCATTTATTATGCACTTTTGCATCTTTATGCAAATACAAATGCGCGTATTGTCGAGAAGTTGTCTGTATGTGTGGTATGTGTGTGTGTTTGCGTGTGTGTTTGCGTGTGTGTGCGTGTGTGTATGTTTGAGAGGGGAGGGCGAGGGAAGGTGGCATGAGTGGGCGTGTGTGAGTATACTCATGTGTGTTCAGATTTTTATCATCCTTATTTCAACAACCGCAGAAGCTAGGAAGCTGGAACTTTGTAAGGATGTTTCTA